GTTCGACAGGAAATCACTGTAGAAGGAGAGTTAGTTCGATGGGCGAGTCGATTGGTTGGTGGTTCACGAGGTGAGTCGACTTGCTACAGTGTGTAGGTTGATGCTGTCGGTCGGTCATAAAATATGTCCGTCGGTTGGTTCGTATCCGGATTTGTCGGTCGAATCGTCGTTTGCATGGCCTCGCTCTTGAAAAGGTAGAAAGTCAGTTCAATGGCCATGGAGAATTCCGGGTGAACTCGGTTCACTCGAACAAGTCGTGTGGTCTCCGGGGAGCAGAATTTGAGGCGATCACCACAAAATGTCCGCCCACGAAGCCGCCAGGTATTTGCCTAAATACGCTGCGCGCATGAATAATATTAATGGTTAAACGCGCACGTGTCAAAGCCTGTCAACGCCTGCGAGTGAAATATTAGCGAGACGGCGGATGAGGCGGGTAGAAAGAAAGATGTGAGATTTATGGTGGGATGAAAGTGCGCAGGGAATTTGGGTGAAAAGGAACGAACGAACGGTGGCCAATCGCAAAGACGACGGCTTACCGTGTCATCAGGCACCCCCTGAGGGATGCGGCCAAATGTCAGGAGGCGTGCCGAAATGTTGGCAGCGGGAAGACACAAGTCGTCACGAAAATGTTCTGCGAAACATTTGGCAAGATGACTCTATTCCAGTCAACGATTTTTTTTTGGGGGGGGGCGCGTGCATCGCTATTCACGGTGTGTGTAAAACGTGACCTTTAATCACACAGAAAGACAGAGTGTACCCATTGCTAATTTGTCCGGTTCAATATTTAGCCAAATAAAATTCCCCGATTCATTTATAAACAATAAGTACATGAATGACAGGCAGACCATTTGACTGTTTTATATTTTTTTTTACTATTTTGCATATATATGCGCAATACACTTATACACACACACACACACACACACACACACACACATCCATATATACACACATATACATGTATTCCCTAGTGTATAGTAAAAAATAATTAATTTCAATAATAATAAAAAATATATATGTCAGATTCAAGGTGGTTAACACTGACAAAGTTGTCTTGATTTTTAATTTATTCTTTCTATCATTTTTGGAGTTATTTTGGAAAAACGAACATTCACTATGACAGTGTGACTTTCAGTCTAAAATAGTCTTCATATTCTTTTTTCAAACACGTAAATGTCCAACTCTGTCATCCCACGCATTTCCAGCCACTGTCCTCCCCACCCCCACTGTGCACTTCATTATGGTCATGGCTTTGCACACAGGAGGAGGGGAGGGTGAGAGTGGGTGAGTGAGTTTGCACACACCTTCTTCTGCGTAAAACATGAGGATGACCTTTCATGAGGAAGCGATTTAAATGATGGCCTGTCATCACCAGGGATACCAACGAGTGAGTGTGGATGAACATCTCCTGTGGAAAAAAAAACAACGTCACAATTTAGCACACACGGAGTGGGAAACACACACACACACGCACACACACACACACACACACACACACACACACACAGACGCACGCACGCACGCACACACACGTCTCTCTCTCTCTCTCTCTCTCTCTCTATATATATATATATATACACTCACACACATATCCATATATACACACATATATATGTATTCCTTAGTGTATAATAAAAAAATAAAAAATTAATTTCAATAATAAAAAAAAAATATATGTCAGATTCTAGTTAACAAGGTAGTTTTTAAAAAATGTATCATTTTTGGAGTTATTTTGGAAAAACTAACATTCACTATGACAGTGTGACTTTCAGTTTTTGAATGCTGTCTTCCTGTACCACCACCAACAGCCGCCAAATGGGAGGTGTTTGAAATTTCATGGGGAGAAAAAAAAAAATACAACCCCAAAGCCAACCGCGTGAAAAAAAGGGGGGGGGGGAACAATAGAACCACAAAGCCAACAGGGTGAAAGAAAGTGCTCCAAACACCCCCACGTGAGGGGAAACAAGTGATCAAAAATTTTTTTTAATTGTCTTTTGGCAGTAGAGTCATGCACACGTCAAATTTTCTTCATTTAAAAAAATGAGGCAGTTACAAATGCTCCAAATCACATTTGGCACATTAAAACAAACAAAACAAAACAAAAAGAAAAAAAAGTTACAAATGCTCCAAATCACATTTGGCACATTAAAACCAACAAAACAAAACAAAAAGAAAAAAAAAAGGAATCAGGAAAAGTGAGTGGCGGATTACTGAGATTTTTTTTCGTTTTTCTTAAAAAAAATCTCAATTCAGGAAAAGTGAGTGGCGGATTACTGAGATTTTTTTCGTTTTTCTTAAAAAAATCTCAATTTTTTTCTGGCTTGACACCACCACCTCCAACACCAAATTAAAAAAAAAAAAACAAAGAAACACCCCCCGCCCCCTAAAACCAACAGTGTGAAAAAGTGCTCCCAAAACATGCACTTTTTTGTTTTCTTTTTTCGGTTTGGTTTTCAATTCTTTGGAAATGGATGCAGCAACACGTCACTTTTATTAAAAGAAAAAAAAAAAAAAGGACAATTCCTACAAATTCATATTTGGAACATTTGGAAAAAAAAATCAGTAATACAACAGCTAAAAGTTACTGTGCTCTCTATACAGTATGTGTGTCGATAAATATACGTTGACAGAGTTACAAAGACGTGTACATACAGACTGCAGAGTTCAAGAGTTGACTTCAAAAGGCACTTCATCGAGCTTTTTTTTTTTTTTTTTTTTAAGTGGGTCCCAACTGCATGTCTGAACACTGGCTGATTCACATTGCAAAAATATCGATAATGACATACTGTATACATACTACGGCAATTTGCAGATGTTACACAGACACGTCAAGGTTCTCTTGACTATTTGAAATAAAGCTTCACAGGACCTTTGAAGAAAATCCTTCCAAAATAGCGCTTTAAGCACTTATCGATTCAGGAAAACAAAAACAACAAAAAAAAAAAAAAGACAAAGGCAAGTGGAACTGAAAAACTGCGTGCGTGTTATTGCATTTGGACTCATGTTGAAAATGCTTCATAAAAAGAAAGATACCTTTCCGTTCGAGGTATTCGGGTCATCCAACCCAAAAGGCACTTGCTTTCGGACGTTGACGTGCGCGTCTTTTACCAGTTCCTCTGCAGCCATCCCGACACGTACTCGTACACCAGCAGCATCACAGCGCCGCCTGCGGTCCAAAGGGACACAGCAGACATGGACGTTGACCAAGATATTCCATTAAAAAAAAGAAATAAAATAAAAATAAACGGCAGATGTTACCTGGCCCAAGTCTCATGATCTTTGGCACCAAGCCCTTGTAGAGCGCCAAGTACCTACGGACACAACAGCAGCATCGCAAATGTGATCACTCAACAAATGAAACCCTTATCTCAAGCGCTGCGCATCTAAATATACAACTGAAAATCAATGATGTAGCTGAGTGCTTAGCTTGTTGAAAATTAAAATTACAATAAGTACCATCTCTGAAGCTGAAGGGGGTGCGCGTGAACCAAGGTTTTGCGAAAAGCGGATCGAGCTCATGGGTGCACCGTGTTCATTTGGATGCTGTTCAGAGTTGCGTGGCTTCGAGAGTTTTGAGATTGTTTGGCAAAGACCGATCACGCTGAGGGATTGTGTGGGGGGTGCGCGGCGTGCCAAAGTTTCAGGACGTTGAGGGAAAAACTGATCTCGCTGGGGGTGCGCCAATGTCGTCTGGCTGTTGAAGGGGACGTATGACAACAAAAAAAAATCATGAAAGACTGATCAGCTGGGGGTGCACCAACTCTGTTGGGGTCTTGAAGGGGGTGTGTAGGTTAAAATGCCTTTGGGAAAGACTGAGGGGTTATATGCGGGTGCGCAGCTTTCCAAAGTTTCATGACGTTTCGGGAAAAACTGATCTCGCTGGAGGTGCGCCAATGCCGTCTGGCTGTTGAAGGGGATGCACGACAAAAAAAAAAAATGGTGAAAGCCTGATCGAGCTGGGGGTGCACCAACTCTGTTGTGGAGTTGAAGGGGGGGGGGGTTAAAATGCTTTTGGGAAAGACCGATTTAGCTGGGGGGGCGGACAGGGCCAGGGGGTGCGCCCACTCTGTCGGAGGTGCGTGGCTTTCAAAAAGACTCACCCAGCGATGGGTGTGTGCCCGTCTCTGTAAGGACATTAAAGGGACACACTGGCCGCTCCTCGGTCGGGACAAGCTTTTGCGGCCATGAGGATCCGACCCCGCCGCTTAATTGATTCAAGGTGACCCGTGGCCTGACGCGCCGCTTCCCTGCCCTGCCGCCGCACTTTCTGACGGCGTTAATAAGGCTGGAGCCACTTCCTCCCTTGCCCCCGTGTCTGATTAGATTGACCCGAGGAGCGCGGCGCACCTCGTTAGGGTGCGCTTAACGACGTCCCCCACGGGGACCGCTAATTAGCAGGGACTGTGTTGTGTTACGGGATGAGGGCGGGGGGGTGCTGGTGAATTGGGGGCGCACGATTCTGGAAACACGTGGCAACTTTTTGATCTGCGACGCCGCCGTCATTGCCACGTTTGGTAAAAGGTCCACCGCCATCGTCAGATTTGGGGAAAAAAAGTCATAACCATCTCTCAACCTTTGGGTCCGGTGTTCCACTGTCAATGTTTCCAAAAGATCTCCCCGCGATGTGACCTTGCGTCAACTTTTTTGGCCCGGATGTAACCGCGTGTCAACATTTTTGCTGCGGTACTCTCCAATGTTGACAAAAGTATCTTATCGTTTTCGCCGTCATGATCAATGTTGATTGACAAGGCGATGTCATGATGACGTCATCCATGCCAACCAAAGGACAACGAGGGATAGAATCGTTTGTCAACATTATAATCCGCCGCGACATTTGTCATCGTTGGCAAAAGTTCAATCGCCGCGTGTCAACATTTTGGGCCCGGTATCACCCTGTCAATCAATTTTGAATCAAATGTCAATCACGACGTAGCCATGTGTCAACTTTTCAATCCGCTCTCATGAAAAAAAGTCCATCGCGATGCCATCGTCCAGTACGTCAGTGACATCGCGAGTGTTGACGATGTGACAACTGTTATCGCAAACGTGGCAGCGTCTCAACACACATGCATGTCACATTTTTTTTTTTGGAGGGGGGGGGGGCATTCTCAAAATATTGCGATAAGATCGGCAGCTAAGCGGCCAAGCCACCCCCAAGAAAACAGACGAGAGCGACGACATCGACGGAAGGTCTTCCCTACCCTTCCTCGCGGTAAACCAGCGCCATGGTCTGGAAGCAGGTGCGGTACTTGATCTGGCCTGGGACCGGCTGCGGGCCCTGGATGCGACTCTTGGCCACGTCCCAGGGGATGTTGACGCAGGAGGAGATGGTTCCGGACGCCAGGCCGATAGCGAACTTCCTCAGGAATTCCAAGGTCGGGTCCTGGTGAACATACAATCATAAAAATAATAAAATTTCCACCAAGGCAAGGCCAGGTAAGGCTGTTTTTTTTTTTTTTTTTTTTGCACAAGGCAACTCAATGCGTTTTTATAAAAACTAAACCTATTGTCAATGCATATTGTTGTTGTTTGTGTCATTATCATATGCAATTGAATAAGTAGACCACAGGTGTCAAAGTCAAGGCCCGCGGGCCAGATCTGGCTTCGGCGCATTTACAAAACAAAACATTTGAAATCATTTGGAGGAAACTGACTTGACTTCTGTTGCCATCTTATTCCATTTGCGTGCAGCGTAACCACGAAATGTTGCTTTGCCGTCCACTGGTACCTCGACTTACGAACGTCTCTTCAAACGAAATGTTCAAGTCACGAAATGCCTCGTGAGGAAAATATATTGCCTCTTGTTCCGAAAGACATTTCAAGATACAAAAGGTAAAAAATACAGTATGGCCTGTTACTCGAGTCTACTCGACGCAACATACTTGTAGCTGCTCCGCCATTGGCTACTACCGAGCATCATTCTGGCATCTCATTGGCTAAGAGGTGACCTCTACCGTATGCAGCGTCCTCATCATTCGCCCTTCGGGCCACGAGGCGTTCTGATAGTTTGACATAAATGTGAATCACCCAGAAAAAGTGTTCGCCAGTCGGGCGATCGCTCACTATGCTGATGATGTTTGCCTCGGATATTTTGGAAGGATTGTGAAAAGCCGACAAAAGCAAAAATGTCCTTGGATCGGGCAAAAAGCACTTCTGAGAGAGAATATGAACTAAAGAGGACCAAAAAAAAAATGATGAGGACGCAGTGAAGAGTGAAATGACCATCATTTTTATTCTTTCTTCTATTCTTTGTTTTTTTTACATTGTGCACAACTCTCATTTATTGAGCAATAATCTCATTCTAACATGTATTTGTTACATTTGTGACCTATTTTGATGCATTTTTATGCTTTAGAAAACATTTATGTCTGAATTTTGGTGAGCTTGGAACGGATTAGGCCATTTACATGGAAAACGCGTCTCGACTTACAACATTTTCTCGTGAAGACATTTCTTCCAGAATCAATTCATTTCGTAAGTAGAGGTACCACCGTATTTGCTTTCAAAACTGCGCTTCACTTCTCCGTCTCAGCAGACCGCAGAACTCGACTGGGTGGATATTGAAGTCCAATTTCATTCTCGTATTCAGGACTCAAAACCATTCACCAAAAGGACCACCGGGTCCGCAAGTGTTCCAACGGTCCGGACTTTCCACCCCCGCTGATGTCGAGTCGTCGTCGTGGCGACAGGGCCTTCTGATTGCAAAGCTGGCATGGAAGCCGCCATCATTTTTATGGTATCGGGGAGGGGCCGCGCGCTCGACGACCGCTTCCTGATTGGCTGAGCAGAAGCACACGTGTTCTTCGGGGGGAGCCGTGAGGATTTAGAAACAGGACTCATGCAGACAGACTAGCAGAGGCATATGGGGACAATTTGGATAATTTGGCTGCGACTCGGCGCACAGGCGTATTACTGTACCCCCCCCCCCCCCCCCCCCCCCCCCCCCCCCCCGGGGCCAGACTCGAGAGAGCTCTGACAGCTAATTGGCCGGGAGATTTTTTTTTTTTTTTTTTTTTAAACAAATGACAGCAAGCACACCCCAAGAGGCGGCCTAAATCAACAGCTAATCCCCAACATCTTTCCACTGGACTTCAGGGATGGAGGTACAAGCGTCCCCTCAAGACAGCTTTTCACAAAATTTCCACGTAATTGGCGCACCCCCTCAACATGATCACAAACGTCCCCAAACTTTGACAGAGCGAGCGCACCTCATCCCCCTACACACGCGTCCATAGCGAGAACAGCCTTTCCCTGAACATCCCAGATTCCGCCAGTTGGCGCACCCCCGCCTCAGCGAGATCAGCCTTTCACAACGCAAACATGCTTAAGCCCCCAAACACCTTCAGATCCGTTTTTTACCAACCTTATCAAAACATTTGAAACCGTGCGCCCGTTCTATGCGGCAAACTTTTTTTATATACAGACACAAGCTAAAAAAAAAAAAACTTTGGGAATGTTTTTAGCCATGCACTCTGTTCAAGCTCCCGGCACACCCCTGAAAGACCCTCAGCTGGATCAAAAGGGCCAAAATATTTCAAGCCATCCACACTCTTCTTGATTCCGACACTGCTGGTGTACCTCTTCTTCTCTCCTGCACACCACACACTGCTTCTTCAATACCATGACCGAGTTGGCGCACCTCCTGTGTCCTGTGCACACCCTTAAAAAAAAAAAAAACAAAACAAAACAAAAAAAAAAAAAAGACCAAAACAAATGTGCCATTCGGGCAAAGAAACGTTAAGTGTAATGATTATACCAGACAGCCAAACGAGTTTGAATCTCATTTGCCCTCCCCCATGGGTGCGCGCACCACAGATGATGAAACCGAGCCTTAAATCTCGCCCATTAAGTGACTTCCGAAGAGCCCAAAGCAAACAGCGCCCCTCCTCCCGCCACTTCTCTTTACCTCTCAAGTGGCGCTGTGACAGCATCGAGCACGCTCGGCTGGGTTTGAGTCTCCTTTTTTTTTTTTTTTTTTTGGGTTCCAATAACGGGTCACGCTGTTGATCGACTTTGGAGCGACGCCATCATCAAACGGGCCCGTCAACTTGTCATAGATAACAACACGGATTCCTCAAATCCGCAGTTCTTACAGTAAACCGAAGAGAAGTGCCGTTGTCTGCTTCCAATTAGTCCTTCCGACTTCATCCGACGCGGCGCTTTTCGTGCACGTGGCGTAGGGGTAACGTTTCCGTTGCACAAAAGGAAAAAAAAAATAAAACCCAAAACAAAACAAAAACGTTTATTCGGAGCCATCGGGGCCCGCCGGATGCGTAATGTGAAACGTTTGAGCAAGTTAGGGAGCGCAAACAGACGATGCATTAGTGGGGCTGAGACCTCCCCCGGCACCCCTCTTGATTTGGGATTTCGTCAGGCTCATAGAGTAAACCTCGACCGATTTCTACTCTCACGCTCTGCCCCCCCCCCCGCCCCCGGTATTATAAGAGGGTCGTCAAAAATGTACGAAAAGTGTTCACATTTTATAATACTTGTCCAAGAATGACAATTGCTGTGGGCGATCGAAGTGGGTGCCCCGTATCCCACGTCAGTGGCTGTGTCAGTGTCTTTCCTGCAAAATCGTGATTTGTGCAAAGTCACGGAATGCTACTGACACCTACAGGACTGAACCGGAATAAACTAAAATCGCACTTTCCAACAGTCATTCATGCCTTTGTCACATCCCGGTTGGATTACTGTCATGCGCTTGACTTTGGAGTCAGCCAATCCTCCATCAAGCGTCTCCAGTTGGTCCAAAATGCTGCTGCTCGCCTCTTGACTGGTACTCGTAAGAGGGAGCACATCACTCCTACTCTGGTATCCCTTCACTGGCTCCCGATACATTTTGAAGATTCTATTATTTGTTTTCAAAATCTTGAAATGGCCTCGCTCCACCTTACCTCTCACTTGAGTTGAGTAAAAAAAGTCAAACGCACAGGGTGAGCAATGCGGAGCGGCGGCACATTACCGGGTTGGCGGGGATGGCATCCTTGACATTGAAGTAGAAGCCAAAGTAGATCATGTTGAAGACTCCATGGCGTCCCAGAGTGGACGTCAGTCCTTTGTTCAGACCCTTCAGTCCGAAGCCGTCGGTCTTGATGATGCGTCTGGCCTGAGCGAACGAGGACGGTTGCTGCGGACCGCGAAATCAAAAGACGTCAAAATGGAAAGGGTTTTCAACCAAAATGCTCTTTTTATTTCACGCACCTGTTTGAAGGCGTCTCTGTTGGCCTGGAGGCTGACTTTGACCACCTCGAACGGATTGACCACGACCGCCTCGGTCAAACCCGCGCCGAGTCCCGCGGCCGACAGTGCCTGAAGATGTTGGTGGGATTTTAGAGCGTTGACAAAAAAAAAAACAACCCAAAAAATGTCCAGGTTCACATTGCTCATTCCGCTCTTAAAGCTGCTGGCTCAAAAGGAATCCAAATGAAGTGAAATAGCAAACCCGGTGCTGGGCCCAAAAGGGACTGAGCCAATGCTGGGTTATTTCTACCCAGCGCGTTGGGTTGAGGAATCGACTCAGCATGCGGGGGTCATGATTTTGATCCAGCAAGGGGTTTAAAATTACCCATACTTCTGAGCTAAAGCTAGCAAGAAATGACCAGGTTATCAGTACAAGTGTGGTTCAAAATAGCACTCATTTTATTCCCGAAATTTTCTAGAGAGTAATTTTGCCGCTCAGGGGTCGCTGCAGTTGTCACCGGCAGTGGTTTGGAATCAGCATATGGCGTTCAAGAGCTTGTTAAGGGGCGAGTATTGATACCAGATATCCGTATCAGGATGATACCAGACTTATTTTAAGGAACAGGGCTGCCGATTCCTTCCACCGGTATTTGATGCCGCCAAAATTTGACATTGAGTAAGTCCTATTCGGCCGAAGTTGGCGCTATACGGCGGCAGTTTGACACATTGGCGAATCATCATTTGCATCATAAAGAAAGCTCCTGGTGAATCGTTTTTTTTGTCATTGTGTGAACAGTATCAAAAGTACTGGAGGTATCGGTACTCGCTGTGGCTCTGGAAAAAAAAAAGTGGACTTCGAACCTCCTTCGAAGGGTCTTGCCATGGGACCCACTTTTGAATCCCAGCATTGTTACCCACCAAGCCTTCCAGCCACCAACAATGTGTTTGAAGAATTTTTACATGAAACGACACTGAAACACCCTCCAAAAACCACCTGCTCAAAATCAAACAACTAACGCCAACCTCGCATGATTTGTGTGCGTTCCCTTCCCAGGGTGAGTAATTGCCATTAATGTGGAAATCTAAAATAAATCATGAAAACAACTGACATCTAAATCATATCGGGCCGATGAGGAGCCACCATTATCGCTGGTTACGCAACATCTTCACTGCAAGCGCTCACCCAAGACCTGAAATTAACCCATGTCGCAACACTGCATGTATTTGCACGAAGAGAGTGTGTGTGTGTGTGTGTGTGTGTGTGTGTGTGTGTGTGTGTGTGTGTGGGTGTGTGTGTGTTTGTGTGTATGCACGCACACGCTGGCGTAATGGGAGCATGTCAAGAACGTGTCTCGAGCTCATTACTCTTCCTGCCCTCTTTATGCCGCTGTCAGAGCCCCGGCCGGGAGCCATCCTTGTCAGACATGCCCCCGGCCGCCGTATTTACACAGGCCGCCGCCGCCGCCGCCACCGCCACCTTTTGCATTCTCCGTTGGTCTCATTGCCCCGGCGCGTCCTTCTTAATCACGGTGAAGGCATTCAGCTGCACACCCGCCACACAACGACAGACAGGCAACGTTGCCGCACTCTCGAAAACACCAAAATGACCGGCGTGTTCCCCCTACGCCCTAATTTCCCGAAAATAAATAATAAAATAAAGCGCATCATGTAAACAGAACCAATCATGCAAATCATTTTAGGTGCACTTTATTTTAATTTAAAAATATTTTTCAATCAAAACAAAAAATAAGTTCAAAGGATGGCATTTTCTTTTCATTTGTACTTTTGAATTATTTAAATTCGAGGCACGGTATTTCAATTAATATATATATTTTTTATGAACCAAAAAAAATATAAGCCTGAGGTCAATGCATTGATCTCTAATTTGCCTTAATTATTTTTTCAATAAAAAAAAAAAGCCCAAGATGGGATACATAGCTTACGTCATCTCTTCAACCTTTAAAAAAAAAAAAAAAAAAAACGATATGAATTTTTGAGGCCGATGCCAGTTCTGATATTTGGCACGATAAAAATCTGATACCCGATTAATTGACTCATTAGTTTAAAACCAGATAATGAATAAAATAACGTTTTTTTCCCCGTCCCTTATAAGATAGAATTACAATGACAGTTTCACACTACTTTCACCATCTTTTGTCTTATGATGTAATGCGTTGATGTGCAAAAAAAAAAAACAAAAAAACAAAAAAACAGCAAATTTTTGTCCATTTCAAATGAGCTAACATCTAACTAGACGAATGCAAACATTTTAGTCAACAAATACTTCTCCAAACTAGACTTCCCAATGACTGACTTTTGCAGACTTGTGACTTTGTAATGTCGGCCTACAAATCCAAACGTGCGAAAAAAAAAAAAACAACCCTCCCCCAAAAAAACCCTGCAAATTTTTGTCCGTTTCAAAAGCGCTAACATCTAAAGAGACGAATGCAAACATTGTGGTCAACAAATACTTTTCCAAACTAGACTTCCCAAATGACCAACTTTTGCAGACTTGTGACTTTGTAATGTCGGCCTACAAATCCAAACGTGCGTAAGGAAGAGAGGCTTGCGGGGCAAAAGATGGCGCTTGATGGATGGGCCCGGTAAACATCCCTCCACCAATGGCTGTAAAAACACACACACACACACACACACACACACGCGCACGCACGTCGAGGAAATACGATGTGCCGGGGCGGACGTCGGCGCTGCAGGTACGCCATCCATCAGGGCTGACACCTGGCCGCCACCCGAGCAGCCGCGCACGCGCCCTCCCTAGCGAAACGGCGACGGCGGACACCGATGAGATGATCAGGTGTGCCTTTTGTGTTTTGAGCGCACGTTAACAGTTTTGAGGGTGCAAAGGAAACGAGAACGAGCAATTGCGGCAACAAGTTGGCTTGTTTTTGACGAGGGACGCAAAGGAAAAGTCGATTTTAAGCCTGAAGTTGTTGTTTAAAAAGACGCTTTACGAGCTGAATACCGCGGCCCTTGCGGCAACTAAATCACCTTTCTGTGGCCTTTTATTGTTGTCACAGTTGATCGTTCCTGTCCACTGAAACACATGCCGCGTTGAAGTTTTGTTTAAAAAGGAAAAAAAAAAAACACAAATTGGAAAAGAGATTTTTTTTTTTTTTTGCGGGGGATAAAACAAAGGATTCTCAATTTAATGTTTAAAAATTGTGAGTTTCATTTTTTTTAAAACACACTGAAAACAATAATAAAAAAGAAAAAGTCAGATTGGCAATTTTTTTTATTATTGTAATAATAAGTATTATTATTTTTAATAATGATGACAATCATATTACCACTACGACGACTAAACTAATCAGATAAATGTTGGAAATATTTGATCCAGTTTGAACATTTAATTGCCAAGGGTACTTTTTCTTGTTGCGGAGGTTAATCCCCCCCCCAAAAATTAAAAATATCAGCAAATAGAGCAAAGTCAAAAACTAGGTCATAAAAAAAAAAAAAAAAAAAAAAAAAAGGAATATACAAACCACTCTCTCTCTCAAAATGCACTCTCACACACGTTTGCAACATTCGGGCGCTCGCTCTCCGTAAGCGCACATTCCGACAATTTTAACCCCACGCCAGGTGCGAGTCGGTCATAGATTGTCGCGCGCTTGTATAAGAAACCGCGTCGAAAAACATGGGGGCCAACCACTTCTGCGTTTAACAGGGTGTAAATTATTCTTGGCATCAGTCGGCAGGTGAGGCCAAAAACTGACACCGTGTACAATGTTCTTCCTGTTCCGTGTGTGTGTCCGTGCGTGTCCGTGCATGTGTGTTTATCTTTCCAGCGAGAGTGTACTCAGGTGCTTGTGTGTATATATGTGTGTGTGTGTGTGTGTGTGTGTGTGTGTGTGTGCTTGTAAGAGAGAGTGTTAAGACTCACCAGGCCTGGAGACAAAGGGGTCAAATTCAGCAGCTTCTTGTACTGCTCGAAGGTAAAAAACTGAGGGGGGGTGTAAGAACGGGAGAGGGAGACAGAAAGCAAATGAGAAATGGAGACGAACGCGTGCCGACGCAGGCACACCTGTCGCGCACGGACAGGAAGCGTAACCATTCTCGAACTTCACTGAACAGGATGCATTTACAAAAATGAGGGTAGGGTTAGCTATCGCGAAATCAAAAACCAACAACAACAAAAAGAAGCCTCATAAGAAAGTAGTAGCTGGTATATTTTCAATTGTGAAGTGATGACAGATGTCAACACCCTCCCACTTTCTTTTTTAGTTTTAAAAAAAAATCACAAACAGTCTTTGAAACAGCTGCGAGTGAGCAAGCCAGACGACGAGCTAACAAGGCAGCTATAGCTAGCTAATTTATAATAGCGCGATCATTTATTCATCCCGTGAGGGAAATTGAATTGCTGCTGCAGCAATAGTCAGACAAGAATATTTGTATTCATAAGAAGAACTGAGGATGGATTGAAATAAAATTGGACGAAGCTGTACGCTGCTATATGCTAATTGACGATGCCAAAGTCATATAAAATATCTTTTAATTAGTGCAATATTATTTCGACAGTGACATTTCATGACACACTGATCCTTTATAATTTACTACTGAGATGAATAAATGTCCGCTATTAGTTATTATTCTAATTATTATTTTTGCTGTTAGCGAGAGTTGACTGTATTTGAATTGGCAATATTGGCGCCCGGTGTTGTCACAAGATGGGGCTTGGGCGCGACGCACCACTAACTACTTGTAAGTCAATATTTGGACTGGACGACAGAACAAACAGCAGCGGGCGGTGCGGGTGGCGCGAATGACTTTGACGGACATGACGTGCGCGGTTAGCAAGGTTGGCGCCGCGCCGACTCGACTCACCTTGACCGCCCTCTTGGGCGTCTCAGCCAGGATGGGAGGCAAAATTCCCTTGTAGAAGCCAAAGATTCTGTGGGCAGAGAAGCTCGCATTAAGTGCGTCAACGCAACCCTCGCCACTTTGCACCCCCCTAGTTTCTTTTATCCTTCTCAGTTTGTGAACCAAATCACACAAAGCAATACCAATATTTTACTGGCCATCGCCCGACCATTCAGATCCATTTGGTGCGGTAATAGTACCACTTGTTCAAGTCCTATTATTTGAGCAAATGGTAAGAAAACAACACTCAATACCCAGGCCAATTCTATACACTCATTCGTGGGCGCCCACGTCACTCACCGGGGCAGGCCCCGCCTTTTAAAGCCATACGCGCTAAAAGTCACAGATGCGACAGAAGAACCTGAGGATAGCGACCCCAAGCGGACGAAAATACGACCAGTTCTACTCAATTGATGGAACACAACAGAGCGATTTCTCTCCCCCCCGCCGCCCCCACGGGAAGAATCGAAACGGGCAACACATTTGGGATGAAGTCAGTTCGCGGTGGTTTTTACTGCAGTCGACAGTGAGGACAAGTTGAGCGGCATGTGCGGCGTGTTGTGGCAACAGTGGCTACAAGCAACACAGATGATGCCGGAATGATTGGCCACAAGCGTAAATATTGTCCTTCCACGAAATATAAACGGGTTGCGTCGCGGGGGGAAATCACAAACATTGGCCCGATAATATCAAGGCGTCAAGTCACAAATGATCAAAAGGAGAGTTTCGCATCATATTTGCGCCCTTCGAGGGACCCGACATGCCGTGAGGGTAATTCACGCGCATGCTGGAAGATTCCAGAAGACGTCAGATAGGGCAGGCGAGGCTTCATGTTGGGTTGATGGCGGTAAACCTCCAAAGATGACGCAGTGAAAAGTGCGGATTGTGAGTGGCAGTGGCGCTGCAGTTTGCTGTAGGAGAGCCACATATTTTTTTTTCATTAGAACTGCCAGTTCATGACTCATGAAAAGAGAAGTCAAATCACCGAGGAAGAGAAGCAATTTTACATCAAGAATTGTTTTATTAAATTGGTTAATCTGTCATGTAATTCATTATAAATTTGTCCATCGACCACATTTTCCATCCACACAAACATTTCGTTTTTTTTTTTTTTTTGTTTTTTTAATCATCGACAAATGATCTGGTCCATGACGCCATCTTAAAAAAAAAACAAACAACAAAAACAAACAAATATGGCAATCTGAATATTCATACATATGCAGATTTTTTTTTCAGAACTTATCCGCCGCTATTTGCTGAAAAACTCACATATTTGCTGTTTTTGTGCCCAGGCCAAAGCAATCAATGCTTTTTTTTTTTTTGCTGCCACTTTGTAGTATCTTGATGCCATGGAACTATGTCGAAGTGAGTGGAAGCATTTCATTTATGCAAAAATAGTGATTTGGCACCATTTTGTGACATCTAAGTAGTAAACCTTGGATTTCGGTGGCTGCTGCAAATTACCCAGAACGCACTTTAGCACTCTTAAGTGTTTTTTTTTTTTTTTTTTTTTTGCTGGCCGTTGTTATCCTCTGAGAAAAAAAATGAGCAATATTACTGCATCTGCCCGAGTCACTTAGTTGCAAAACTCTTCTTTGTGTATTCTGTACATCCGCATTATATTGCCCCCTGGTGGCCAAGGTGCGCACACCAGGACCTGCACACGCACGATAGGTGAAAATCCTCATAAAGTGTCATTTATTTTACAAGTTGTAAAAATGGCGGAGTGGCGCCTTAAGCGCCACGATTGTTTAAAAGTTGAAAACAAGGCGGCAATAAGCGCCGGCGGGCGGCCATGCAAATGGCAGCCGCTGTTTTCCCGGGTGTGGTCAGGCCTCCAGGTGAGTGAAATTTTGCTACAGGACAAACATGCCGGCCGCCATTTGACTGCTGGTTTGCATTCCAATGTAAAGCGCACACTTTTGGGGCTTTCCGTACGCAAAGGACACCGAGGCCCACCTCTGCTTTGAATGAAACTTTCCTTAATAGTAACAGCCCGTGTCGCTCACAATCAGAAGAAACGGAGCGGCCCCCCCGGCCCTCCGTCCATCCCCAGGGAACCTTTTCACATGGAAACAAGCCGGCACGCTTCATCGGCAAATATTTTCACTTTCCCACTGCATCGGCTCCGACCTTGACTTGAGCGGCCTTGATCAGCAGCACACACACACACACACACACACACACACACACACACACACACACACACACACACACACACACACACACACATACACTTGAGACGATGCCAACCACCCCATTTTGTGGCAAACATCACTGATGTGGAGCATATTTCATTTTTGGAAACATCAAACATGATCCCAATTGGCGCATAATAAGATGAACTTTTTTTTGTGTGTGTGTGTGTGTGAAAAAGAAACAATAACCAATTAGAATAACATTTGTGTAGAGGAATATTTCAAGTGTTTTTTTTCCCCAAAGCAAATTATTTTTATTTATTTTTTTTTTACAGATGACATTCCAAGTGTCTCCATATCTTTATATGCTCCCAGTGAAGGCTCGATTAGCCGATCAGAATCCAGAACGATATCTCCAGGAAAAGGCACAAGAGTAATTGTTTCCAATTTTCAGTATGAGAGTCTGTTTCTGCAATAAAAAAAACTCATTGAAAGGCTTTCAACACTTCTTAACCAGGGTTGCCAAGAATTATGACGGGGGGCCGTATTTCGGCGGGCAAAATAAAACCGTATTTCGCTGCAAAGTTTCAGGAAATGAGCAGTGGGAGGTGGACATGACCGTGTGCCTGCCAAAAAAACGGGCCCGCTTGCTTTAACGGCGAGGGGGGAAAGCCTTTTTTTTTTTTTTTTCTCTTTCTTCAATATATTCCCGCGACCACGCCTCGGGGCGGCCAGCCAGCAGGCATCAAGAATGCTGCCGAATCGACTTTTTTGTTTTGCCTCCAGACGGAAACACTTCCGGCTGTTGCCGCACCCGCATGCGCGCATCGCAAAAATCGGAAACGAAACATTGTTGTTTCACGTGCGCTTATTTGAACAAACCAGAGCTCGAGTTGACTCAGGAGAGCCCCGGGGATATGTTTATTTTCTGGAATAATGCTGCAGCACTATTTGTACAAATCCCCACTCAGCGCTTTGGCCCGCAAGTGAGATCGTTGAAGTGGATTTTCAGTGCGTCGTGACGCGTTCCAACACTTTCAAAGTCAGGACGGGACTCTGATTGCGGGATTTCCGAGGCTGTCACCGCACACGGCCTCGCACCACCTGATGCGCTTTTTTTTTTATTTTATTTTTTTATATCTGCCGTAAAGCTGTCGTCTCGCCGTTAAACACAAGCGGCCGACACTTTCTCTGACGCCTGCGCTGTCTCAACGAGCTGTCACTGCAACAGGAGGAGTCGGAGGAGGAGGGGGAAGAAGAAGAGGGGGGGAGGGGCCGGTCGGGCCGCCTTCACTTAGCAGCGAGTGAAAAGAGGTCGAAGAAATTGAAACCAAGAAAAGAAAAAAATTCCATCAAATCTCAATGCACAAAAAAAAAAAAAAAATGTGGCATGTGAATCATTCTTCTTATTTCATTTAGATTCTTTTGGATTCCAAATCAGTTCCCGCTAAAGTCGTTCGTGCTAATACAATTTGTCTGTGCCAAATGCAACATTTTATGAAGTATCACTTTCAGCCTCATACAAGTACAGTGGTACCTCGACTTGCGAAATTAATTGCGAGAAAATTGTGTAAGTAGAGACGCGTTTCGCATGGAAATGCCCTAATCCGTTCCGAGGTGAGTCGCGTCGTAATTTAATGTCACACAGGTGCAAAGCAAAACCAAGTGGGGTCAAAAGTCAATTTAGTGTAACTTCCCGTGTGTATTTTTCTCTCAAGTCTCGACATCCCTGATGGACGCCGCCGAGGGAGCCCGCTGATTTATCCGAATAATTCCGAGTGAATCCGAAACGGTGTGCACGTTTGACTTTTCGCTGATTTAAGCAGTAGGAAGGCGGCAAATGTTTTGCCTTTCGGACCTGCTCAAGACAAATGCTTACAACTTTCGTCCCGGAGGACGGAGCAGAGAGACGAGGAGACTTACCCTTCGTTGCGGAAAATGGTACGGAAGCAGTCGCCCAGACTCTTGTAGCTGGTGGGGTCGCTGGTGCCCCTCTGAATCTGGAACCTGCGTGCACACAATTCTGGCTGTCAATTCAATTCTGAGATTAATTTTTTTTTTTAAAACAGTCACCCAAAAAATGGCCATCACATTCATAATATTTTGAAAGGCGCTTATAAATAAAATGTATGTATTATTATTATTATTATTATTATTATTATTATTATTATTATTATAACACAGGGAGAAATGAGGATATTGTCTTTATTGAGTCAGACAGTCTTCACTGATGTCAGTGTGTCAAACTATTGCATCATGTGAAAGCGGTGCAACAAATAAACAAACAAACAAAAAAAAAAACAAAAGCTTTGCGGATGCTTGTTTTCCCAGCCCTTTCATTTTCATTCATCTTCCCCGAGCCAGGACGGGAGTCTGGTTGGTGCGAGCGTGCCCCTCCCCCCTCCGGGCTAGCATTGGGCGGGGTGGAGGGGGGGGGTATAGGGTAAGAACTCAAACATTTGTTTAACCCAAGCCATCCGATTAACCAGCTGACTTCCCCGTGAGCGGGCCCATCTGCAGCCAAGCTCCGAGGACGCTAACACGCTAGTAAGCTCGCACCAACAGCTCTTCACGCCACGTGTAAATGTTTCGTGTGACGCAGTCGATTTCTTTCCCAGCAAAATTCGGAAGAAGGGTTACTGTGCGGCTAAGGCACACTTTCGCAGACTTGCCAATAAAGGACGCAGAGCGCTGTTTAAATCTTTTTTACGCGAGCAACCAGCCGGGGGCCACAGAATGAATTAAAGGCGCCCGTTAAGAGATGAAGGCCCGAGCGTATTGAGGCGATAAGACGTCGTTAAACGTAGCTGCGACGCTTTGACCCTAAGAGCGTAAACCTGAAAAAGTCAAAAACATTCCAAAACAAACTTTCTGGACTTTTAACAAACACAATTAAAAGCCTAGCGAAAGATTATTGACCGAGGCGTTGATGAATTTGAAAGGAAGGAAAACAAGGTGACGAGGAAAGAATTCCGCATCATCTGTCTACAACCGCAAGGTCAATGGGGTGAGCCGTAAGTCGTCCATGCGGGTGCCTGATGGGCCCATAAAGAGCCCCCAGGTTCCACTAAAAGGGGGGTTCGTTTTTTCCTCATGTTTGTTTCAATGTGTGCGCAGATTTGTATCTTGTTCGTCAACGGCCGCGGTGCGAGTCTTTCAACAAAGCCAAGTGAAAAATTTCTCTGAAAACGGCTAGCTCATTTGCCAAAGCCGTCTGGGCAGGAGCAGAATGCCAGCGATACATTGTGGAGGGGCGGGGGTTGGGGGGACCCAAAACAAAAAAAAACCCAAGGTGGTATCTCACTGCGCGGGAAAGGCTGACAAGTGTTAGCAAATGTCACGGATATTTTTTTGTCAGAGATTCCAAAGACGTTTGCCAAAATGAGACAGCAGGCCGCAAACGGCCCACGGGCTGTGGTTTGGACACCACGGCATCGATGAACATCTTCGAGGGGCGTCTCCTCTACGCTTATTTGGTGGCAGTGCCCATAGCTCAAAATAGAGATGTCTGAAACCGTATTAAAGAGGTTTGCAAGGGAAGGGGGACAGCGGAATGAGATGGACCCTTGGGCAAAAAACTGAAAGATTTAAGACTACAGGGGGCTTGTAAAGAAATTCAAATCGGGCTTAATGAAAGGCACATGATGCTGGGGGTCAATCTCCCAGCGTCTCCTTCGCCCGGCACAAAAATCGGCCATGAGCACTGGGTCCGGGTTGCGGTTCCCCCGACTCCGCGGGTGACCCCGGGGTCACCTCATTTCCTCGTGGCCCTCCGCTACCCTGCCATAAAAAGACAGAGAG